CCCTTACTGGGGACCGTCTTCTAGTCTTGTAGTTTTTCCACATTTTGAGGTATGCAGGGCTCGATCCCTGCACCTGCTACTTACCAGGGATCCTCTCTTTCGGGTAGTTTAGGCCTTGTGTTTTTGTCTTTTTCTGCTGCTTTTGTGTAGGCCTGTAGGTCTGGGTGTTCTTTTTTTTTTTTTCTTCTTTTTTTTTTTTCTTTTTTTTTTTAAAGCCCATGGTGTTGTAGAGGCCAGTCACTGAGTACACAGTGATCACCTGGAGCAGTAGGCTATGGGTGTCCTGGAATATGAGACCACCTCCCATCCATCCTCACGTCAATACTCCTAGCGCACCCCCTATCCCACTATCCTACCTCAGTGTGACCAGCACTCAGGGCCATTACCCTACCAATGGGCAGGTAACTTGGACCGAACAGCAGTGACAGGCACCAGGGCTGATAGGTTGTTCATCCCTGGTGGAAGCGGAATCAGACGAGCCTTGTCGAACGGGAACTTCGAACGCCAGGCCCAGACAATCTACTACAGGCCCCAAAAGACTCTGGGCCCTAGGTTTCAGACAGGGTAGCACCCATTGAAGCAGTCTTACCATCCTTCCCCTAGCTTACCCAAGGCCAGGCGGAASTCGGACTGGCCTGTGGCTGAACTCGGACTGGCCTGAGTGACTTATACCCCTACCCTTACCCCAGGGTCTAAGCCTTATATATAGTCACTAGACAGTTCTATTCGAATATCAGTAGGAACTCCGGTGGCCCAAACCTGTCCCAACTACAGATACTAGACCCCACCAGTGACTAGACCCCCCCAGTCTGATAGTTGTGTAGTTCGTAATCTATGTGTGTATCCAAAGACTGTATGCTTCGTGTGTCTGTGTATCAAGATGTGCAGACAGCACCATATGTGGACACTTGTGTATGTAGCCCGTAGGCCATGTATAATTCGCAAGCTGTGTATATTTGCCCGAAGGCTGTGTGTGCTCTGTGAATCAATGTATCAAGATGTATAGGCAGCATCATGTGTGTATATCGAAGAGAGAACGGGGT